TTTAAAAAAACTTACTGTTTGGATGCCATATTTCTGTTATAAATTTCATTCTTGGTGGCCTAAGTGGATACTCTTTTGGAAACTGTAAGTGTGCTTTGAAAAACCCACCTTCACTAAAATGCAAAAAGTATTTATAGAAATATGTATAATAAGTAATGATATTATATATATATATAAAATATTATATAACAAACAAAACAATATGATTTACTTACTATAATGTATCTGGAGGTCCAATAATGAGCACTTCCCACTGATATATGTCATTGTCATCTATGAGGCCTGCTGAAAACCCTTCTACTGGGTTTTTATTTAATTCTATAGAAAAAAAAAGAGAATTTAAATGAAATTTTTTTATATAATTTCTTATAGCAAATGAACTTTAGAAATATTATTTGTTAATGATATATATTTCAAATATATACTTCAAATATATATTTTAAATTATTTTCATATCAAATTTAAATAAATATATAATTATAATTACATAAAATACAAAAATATAAAAAATAATATCAATATTTAGAATATGCTCGAATGAAAAAGCACAGAACCGTTTAAAAATATATGTATGATTCATCATATTTTGATTAATAAGAATGAAATAACATGAAAAGAAAACTATTAACATAAAATCATTACATTAGTTCAATAAAGTGAAAAAAAATGCTTTTGTTTTTCAACGTGTATAGGTTAGGTCAAATTGAAACATATTAAATAACCGTCAAATAGCTATGAATTAATAACTCAAAAGTGACATGATATTTCATACAAAATTCAATCACAAAGCTTGGATGAAAAACAAAGCGCAATAAATTATAAAAATAAATTTTAAAACATTTCAATGTTTCATTGTGGCGTCAGAAGTAATACAGAAGTTATGGTTCGAAGAAGATTGACCTTCAGTGGTCGTTGCACGGCATGGTTTTCTCTATCTTTTTTTTAGTCTAAACCGCGTTGTATTCGGTGACGCGCGAAATGCTATAAATAACGTTGCCTGCAATTATTTTCGGTAACAGCGAAAACGGCCTTCGCTGTGCATGAAAATTATTCACAAGACAATTTAAATTAGACTCAGCTAGGATTATAAGCGAACTCAATATTAAATGCTAGGTTAAACTTATTCATGGGAGGCACACTACGGTTCCGTAGCCGTATTGATTTTCACGCCCTAATCAGGCGCAGGGCCATCAGAGAGATTACGGAAGGCTCAATTGGTGCTCACATAAGATTACAGAAGTTTTGAGAAACTGAGATATCAGCAGAAAAAATGTTCACAAAGCCATTCTCGAGGGTCGGAACACAACGATGACGAGATCGCACGAGTTTAGAGTACGAGAACGGTTCCGGCTTTTCGTTGAGCTCGAATTTAAGACACGGATCACACTTAGCACTTAAACTGCTTTTGCTGGATACCTGCTAATTGTTTTCGTAGTAGAAGCGCGGACTGTGGCTCTGACATTAATAAAAGTTCCGTTAAATAAGACTAAAGCTGAAAACAATCACTTTTGCTTGACTGGAAAGATGGCTAGGTACGTCACGGAAGCAGTGATTGCGCATGCGTTACTGCTTAAACATATGTTCTTCCGTCTTTCCTATGCGCCGGTCTGATCAAACATTTACGCTCTCTGTTGGATATTTTGCAAATATTACAGATCAAGGTATTTCTTGCTATCGATAAGTAATTTAAAATATTATTTAAAAGATAATAAAATACTTATAAAAATATTGAAAATATTATCAATTATTAATATTATAAAATACTTTTATTATTAAATTAAAGATGATTTTTTAAGATACTTATTTATTTTTACTATTATTCTATAATTATTTTAATTTATGTTAAAAACAGAAAATAATTAATTCTTTTTTGTATGGTAAATTAAATTAAATTTATAAAAATATAAATAGAGATTAATCAGAGGATATATATAATGTAAAATAATTTAATATATTTTGCGTTTTATTTCTTAGAGGGCTTATAAGGACTTAGAATCTCTTTATCATTTTAATGTCATTCGCAACGTTACCGATTCAGTATAGAATAAGATTGTAATATTAATATTAGATTTAGAATGCAGAAATTTTAATGTCAAATCATGAATAAAAATACATAACAAAATATCTCATAATTTATAATAAATATTTTATAATTTTAAATTTGATTAAAATATTAATTGGAGTTAAAATTGAAAAGTAATTTTATTTATAAAATAAATAATCAATTTTATTTCTTACTACGAAAACAATTAGCATGTACAATAATCTATATTATTAATTATTATTAACTATTATTAACTATTATTTAAATGTGTTTATTTGTGTGTTTAACTTGTATATTATTTTTATATTTGTTTTTAATTAAGATTAAAAATGTTTCTTATAATATTACCTTTCCACGAAATTTATTACACTTGATACGTTCAGACTTGTTGCCGGGCAAATCCCCTCTCTTTGTGATTCAATTGACGAATCGGAGCGCGGGAAATCATTATGCTGGTGACAGCTGTAGTGATTAGACGTAATTTTCTTCGAAGTGTGTGTGATCTATTTATTATGTGATATCTTTATAAATATTTTT